TAGCAATCAGACACTTGTAAGCTGGCACTGATATTAATGGTACCTAGAACATTTGCAAAAAATAACTCTTATTTAAATCATGCCACCTCTCACTGCAAGTTATTCTAGATGGGGATTTTTCTACTTATCTGCAATTTTTATTTAACTGGAAGAACCCTTTGCTTTAATTGTTATGGTATAGGTACAGGGGGAGGACTGGAATAAACCCTTCCAGGATGAGACAGCTCAGGACTTGAAACAGAATGTCAACCTTCCTCTTCCTGGTGGATACTTCATTTTTTTACTAACCACCAAAGTATTGCCCCTTCACAGTTAGTGACCACCCCCAAGTACCCAGTCACAAATCAAGCTTCAGAACTCTGAGATTAACGCTTCCCCTCCCACCACCAGAAGAGAGTTTCTTGAATCCGTATTTTAAAGCATTTTATGTTTACTCCCGAGAATTCTTCCAGGACTGTGATAGAAATCTGTTTAAAATGAGAGCCCTGGCTCCTCATAAGTTGCTTGACTATGGAGAGGGAGGCATTTGGAGATACAAGTTTTATCATGAGTGAGCAACACTGGTTCTCTGTACTCCTTCCAGTATTTCAGCAGCTAAGCAGTACTATCTCATGACTCGTTTGGGATTCTAGGACCCGCCATCAGCCAGTCTTGCCCTTAAGTTTCATTAAAGAAACTTAACGTGCCTTAAGGCAACAGAATGGAGCTAACCTACTGGAAAGCTGCTGTCTTCCCTGACCTTCTCACTGCCTTTTGCTAAAAGATCACAGTATTGCTTTGTTGCATTTGTCTTACTCAAAACTCTGGTAATTCTAGCCTTGCAAATAGTACCTTGGCACTACCAGAAATCCTAAGGAGGAGCTACAGGGCCCTGAGCAGAATTCTTCAACTGTCTGAGCAATCTCCCAAAATAGACCAGGAAATGTGATAGTTCTGATTGTTTTCAATCTGCTGGAAATCTTGCATCAGTGCTTAGAGATTTATTCAGTATTTAAGATGACAGAAAAGCATCTATGATCTGCACAATGACCAAGGGATGCACTGTAAGCAACCGGGTTTCTTGTGGTATTTGATGGACTATTTCCATCTGGCTGGACTATTTCCCAGCATACTGCTCTGAGATTTGTAGCACTTCATACTTATTCGCAAATGCTCTACAGTATTTAGGGCCATTTCTTGCATGAGTTAGTCATTGCTACACAGCCATCCATTAAAACCTCCACTGGGATATAAACAGCAGACAGATGTCTCTACTGGAAGTGAAGGTATGACTACAGCACATGTAAATGCACCCAAGCTACTGCTACCTAACTAGCTTGCGTGCCAATAGCCGTAAAGCTGTGGACTTCATTTTAGGCTGTACAAAAAACACTCAGGAGCTTTGGAATTAATCTGGTAGCCAGTGTGCATGCAGATATCAGTGAGGGAAAAGCCAGGACTGGCTGATCTTTACACACTACATACTGGGGAATATGCAGCCTTTGTGCGTATTGAAGAAGCATTTTGCCTCAGATTAAGGGAAGAAACTGGATCACATGAAAAATACGAGGCTTTCTCACATGAAGGCCTATAAGTGAAAGAATTCACAACTTTGGTTTATCTAAATGTAGGTGGCCAAAGATGTAGCATTTATGTGACCCACACAGATCACATAAACCTCAAAAAAAAAACCCAGCACAGGAAATCATTTGAGAGAAAGCAACCTTTTTTTTAGCGTACTCTCTAATACATGCTGCTTGGGATTGGGTCAGCAATGTCCCAAAAATAGGAATTCACTGTATTCCCGTACATCTGGTTCTTGTCCCAACAATTTCAGAGAGGCATGAAAATGAAAACTGTCTGTGCTGAAAGTTAACCAGGCTCCTCTGATCATCAAGGAAGTTCAGGTCAGGTTTCAACCAGCAGCTTGCGGTTTGGCATGAAAGAGACTATTCTAATTCACAGCAGGATGTAAACACCCTGTGTGAGCATTACTCTTTGTTGGGAGACCTCTGGCCACCTGCTTGAGCACTCATCCTTGCTCCTAGCTTATTAGAAGTGCCCTGGGATTTGGTGAGGAGGAATGGCAGTAATTATGTGTTTTGCTCCCTGTTTCTGGTAGCCTTGAAATCTTTGCTATATATGCCAGGAGAGAGGGGAAAAACGAGCAGGTTTTTACACGTGTTGCGGAGGCTCTGCCCGAGAGCCTCACCCCGTTTTACCTCCAGGTCTCCCAGCCAGCTGCACCCCGACCTCCACCACACAGCCCTCATGACCCAACCCTGGGCACACCGCTGCAGGGCCCTGAAGTTTGCCGTCAGATCCCCAGGCATCTCTGAAACACACGTGCCCGCACAGCAGCCCCACACACCCCGAAAGCCTTACCCCAGCCCCTCACGGGGCTTTCCAGAACAATCCCCCTCCGCCTTCCTGAAGAGTCCCTGCACAGCCTCCCCGAGGGGTCTTGTGGGGTGAACCGCACTCCCTGCTGATGCCCGGGGGAAAGCCTAGTCCTCTCCATCCAACGCCACCTCCGCCGGGCTGTGCTGGCCGGGGCCTCTCCCCGCAGCGAGGCGGGACAACTCGGCTGCAGCTGCTGCAACCCCCGCCATCTCGGGGCCGCATCCTCCCCCGAGGGCCAGGCGGGAAAAGCAGGTGGGCGCCCTCAGGCTCTTTCACAGCCCCCACGGGCCAAGGGCACGCCGGCCGCGTTTCACCCGGGGCACCACGTCGCTCTGGGGCTCGCCGGCTCCCCCCGCGGCGGGCGGGACCCGCGAGCCGCCCCGCTCGGGCTCCGCCGAGGCGGCGCCGCCATAGCCCCGCGCCTCCCTCCCCAGGGCGCCGGCGGTGGGCGGGCGGCGGGCAGCGCGAGCTCCCCAGGGAAGCGCCCCTCAGCCGCCGCCCCTCAGCCGCGGCCTCTGGGGAGTTGGCGGGCGGGGGGCCGGAGGCTGAGGTGAGGGACGGGCCGTTGCAGGTGCCGCGCAGGTAGATCCTAAGGAGTGGAAAGGAGGCGGGTTGTCTGGCTCCGAGCTGATGCTGGGAAGCTCTGGGGACTGGTGGTTACCTAAGGGGAACACCCCCGCAGCAGGGTAGCAGACAGTCAGGCCTGGGCGCCCTACCCTTTGCTGTGTTATAACCACATAAATTGAAGGCGTGCCCTTCCTGCTTACTAGTTAATCGGTGCCGTGATAGAAGGTGCAATCAGGGCTGCTCAGCTGAACATAATTGAGGCGGGGGGATTGATAAAAGTTGGAATTGGAGGGATTGAAACTCAGTGGGTGTGTGTCTGTGTGTTCTGCCCTGCAGAAAGCCTGTCAGAGCACCGTGGGTCCACCAGACGAGCATTTCCTGGTCTTCCACTTGTTTCTGTAATCACAGCCTTTCTTTTTTCCACACAGTGTTAAGAAAGGTGCTTCTTCTTAATGTATTGTTAACTGAGTTGTAGCATTCTTATTTTTGTTATTGTGCCTGTCACTACCTGCCTCGATTTTCAAGCTGATGTGGGTTCTCAGATCCTGCTAAAGGACCACTGAGAGGAATATATGGTTTAGTACTTTCTTGCATTTGAGTGATTACTAATGCATTTCAGGTTGTATCAGCTTTCAGTGCATTGGTGTTCCATTATGGGAATATTGGCCGCCTTCTTTCCCTTTCTGCAATTTTCTTCTTAAGAGCATTAACACATGGATAGAATTATATTAGCATTAAGCAAACTCTTGCTTTAAAAAGTCCTTGTAATTGAGTGACGGATGCTTATGACTGAATACATTTAAATACTCAATATAAGACTAGAGTTACTATTCGGGGACCTGCTTAGCATCCTGAGTACTCATTGACTTTCAAGTGGAAATGCTGTGGTGATCAGTACCCCACAGAGCCAGTTTGGATTTCCCGGGTTAGAAAATAAACTATAATGCTGCAGAAGTTCAGGTGGCACCTGTACTGTTTGTCTAGATGTAAATGAATCAGAAACTATGGTAGACTCTGGATTAACTGTAGTTTTATAGTAGCAAACAGTTTTGTTTTAAATAGTCCCTTTGTGACAATTGAGGAAACTTTTCTGTTAGCTCTTATTGCATTGTATTAAACTATTTATAAAGCTGAGAGCTGTATAGATATATTTAAAACACTGCTACAGAAAACTGAGAAGTGTGTTTTTTCAACTTAAAAAACTATGCATCTTTATCCTGCTGAAGTTTTGAAGTATTTGTAAATAGCCTTTTACTTAAATGGTTTCCCACAGTTAGAAAGACAAGTCAAATATAATGTGCATATATTTAGTTAGAGTTAAGCTTCAAACTCTGGTCAGTGCTCTCTTATGCCAGATTTAACTCTTTATTTTCTTTATTTCTTCACAGTTAAGATTTATGAAGATGGGACACTTTCAGATGCGTCTGGAAATTTATACCTTCTTCAGGGAGTTTGACCAGCCAATTTATAAAGCATGTTGTAAAAGGTAGGGCTGAGCTTTTGTTAAATAGATCAACACTAATTCCTCAGAGAGGTGAGAACTTCCCCTCTGAAACATGGCACTTCTCAAAGCAGTAAGTGCCTGTGTTTAGAAACTAATCCATTTACCAAATGACAAACACTTGATAATCTCCTAACTTCCTCAGGATAAGATTACAGTAGGTAGCATTTTGATCTCAGTATTCTGATTTTTCCAGTTGTGATTGACTGATAAGCCAGGTTCTCCTACACAGAGAAGAATTTGAGAAATAGTGAATTCTGCCTCTATAAGCTTCTGATATAGGCTGGGGATTTAAAAAAATAGAATAAATTTTTAATAAGCAGTAGGGGTTTTTTTGCTGAATAATGAATTTGCGGTGCTGAAAAACAGTGATTCATTAATTCTATTAAAACAATAAAGCGATGTTGATTAGAGACCAAACATAACATAGAATCCAAGTGACTTTAATATGTAATGTAGAATATGATACCTAAAATATAATACATAAAGCATATATACATCAGATATGACATATATGAAAAATAGTTAACAAAATACATTAAACAGCCTATAAATGCATGTATCTTAGTTACATAATAAATCATATATGTACTGAAAATTTTATTAATCTGCTACTCATATTTTTAAATGGTACCTGTTTCAGATTTCTTCCCTATTCTTGAACTTAACAAGTTTGCACAACTTGCACATTGTCCATCCAAGAGTGCCACTGGCCTTTATCCTTTTCATTAAGTAGAAGCTGGAATATGTAACATTGTTCTCTCTTAAATATCCCACAGTTTACCTGCAACTTTACTGTGCATCCTGTATTTGCTACGAAGAGTGAGCATTTACAATATCTTGCCACCAAATGCTCCAACTTAGAACAATGAAATATTATAAGTGAAGCAAAATATTTATTTAGGACTTGTTGCTAAGTTCACATAAGTTACATTTGGCTGGAATACCTGAATGCCATTTTAATACTTTGCTTTTGGAGGGAACACTTACTTGACAGCTCATGTGGGTCGGATACTTCTTCCTACATTTTTTCCAGACATTTTTACTAGGATGAGGTTATTTATACTCCAGTTCTGTACAGTGGTGAGTGCTCTCTCCATTCAAAGCAGTGAGTGCAATTTTACCAAGGGTATTCAGGTACCTAGTTTATGTGCTGGAAGTTCCCAAGGCACCTCTGAAACCCCAGTGAACTCTACATTAAAAGAAGGAATATCTAGGATTGATATCTTTAGCAGAATATAGCTTTTTAAAAATAAATTTTCCAGAATGTTTTTTTACATTTTAGTGAACCATGAGATAGGAAAAATATCTTTTTTCCTCTTTGGAGTTTGTTTTAGCACAGAGGTATTGTTCTTCTTTTAATTATTATTCTGATCTTATGTGGGGACACAACTGGTCATTGCTTCCATTCTTGTAAAAACAGGACAGGAAATATATGAGCAGTTTCACAGAAGCTGATCTGAAATTTTGTAGCCACAAAACTCTGTGCAAAGTTTTTCAGAATTTATCCTAATTTTCTGTATTATCCATTTAAAAGTTAATAAGCCATTTAACATCAAAAGGGAATGGCAGCATGTTAGGCTGAAAGCAGGATGAAGGAACTTGTTCTCACAGCTACACGCTGCATGAGAAATTGAATATTCACATGTATGGATTCATTTCACCAGCATGTCTTCATTTCCTAAGGAAACGTTGCTTGTGTAATATAACAAGTTTAATTTAAAGATTTTCCTCCAAACTAGTTTACAGTCAATCCTGGTAAACACCTTATTCAATATGATCTTGAGGAGGTAGATTTTCTGTTAGTTCTTTAAATGGAGAATGATTTGGCCCTGAAGATTTTTGAGCTTCCCCCAACATTGCACTATCAGTCATGCAACTCCACAGGGAGAATTAGAATAGACTACCCACAGGCATTTTTTCCGTGGTGTGTAATGCAGATCCACAGTTGTTCTTCTGGCATCATGGATTGAACCCAGGACCTTTGAATCTCAGAGTGCAATACACTTATTGTTAGAACTAGACATGTTCATAATCTCAACAGCTGCAGATGGCTTATAAATCTACGTGTCTCCCTGCTGCCCCCGACAGAAGAAACTGTGGGGTATGTGTGTCAGGGCTGGTACCACTTAAGAGGTGTAAAAGCTCATCCTCCCTGTCTGCACTCATTCCATGTGGTTTGTATCAGAAGAGAATCACTGTCCAGGCACCAGCACTGCCCCAGAGCCTGGCTTGAATGTCATTGAGGGGAGCAGAAGAAGTTCCACAGAGGGAAGCCGTTTGTGCCTCTCTGCATGAAGGGCAGAGACCACAAGAGATGAGATCTGGTTACTTTTAATGTAGGCAGCAGCAGGGTCGGGGTAGCTCTGACAGATGAGTAGGACTTACAGGGAGAGGAACAGCAGCAGTCGAAAGAAGACACCAATTTGGGAGGTAAATAGTGCCAGACAAGTCATTTGTTGCTCTGTGCCTGTAATGCAGGAGAAAGAATAGTCTCCTCTGGAATACTGTCTACTTTGCCACATGGCAGCAAAGTGACTTTTCTCCTTCTCTTGCCTTTCTTTTCCTCCATGATGTTGGTTACTCAACCTGAAATCCAGGGAGGAGTTGCACAGTATGTTACAAGACTACTCTGTTACCAGAGATTGTTGGTGAGTGAAGGTGGTGAAGGAGGCTAGTGTAATAATTACAAAAGGAAAAGAATCACTTGCATGAAGAACAACTAGTTTTTGTACAGACTCTGTCTGTTGCTGGAATGTTAAGCCTTATGTTCATTATTATTTGACTAGCCCAAATCTAATGTGTCATTTAGCATTTCACAAAAGAACGCCTGTATGAGGAACTGCTTGGCATTTCAGGCTTTTATCATTTAAATGGAAAATTCTTAGCAGTCTTCAGAGACATAGTTTTGTGCCATGGAAGAAGGTCTTGGGCACCTATAGTCTATATTTTCATGAGATATTTGTGGTAAATTGACTGCATTCTGCAAGTTGACTGTATCGGCAGTCTTGGAGTGGTGGAGAGAAAACCTCTCCCTTCTCGGTAATTGTAGAGTAATACTGAGAAAGTGCATACCATATCTAGGGGACATGATTTCATCTTCCAGCATTATAGACTTGATGCATTATGCTTTTTTTAAAGTCCAGATCTGCAAAATGCAGACAGCATTTAATTACTGTGGTTATATATTCTTGGCGTTATAGATGATTTAAGGTAGAAATCATCTTAACTTTAGACATCACAGTTCTAGCATCTAATCTAAGTTATTTGTCTATTGCCTTATATTGTCAATAGAGAGGGAATGGTATATTTCCAGTCTTTCATCAACCTCTGTAGTTTCTTGTTGTCTTCTGTTTACTATAGACACTATACAGACAGTTACCTTAATGAATAAAGCTGAATGAAATTAATTCCTCCCCACTTCAGTGAATTTTAGGAGTAGTGTTACCTTCTGTACCAAGGTGTAAACTCACTCTTGAGTCACAAAGGAATTATTTTTCCCTTGATTCAGTCCTCAGCCTCATAGATCCTTCTTCCACTTTTCTCTAAGACAGCAAATCTCAGGGCAAAGATACTGTTTCTAAATACTATCTGAGGCAGGTTACTCGATGAGGAGGTTGTTAACATGTCTTCAAACATACCATGGCCAGATGGGACCATTTGATCATCTGGCTCCATCTACGAGGCATAGTTGTTTTTTTTCAATTTATTCTCAGAGCATAAGACCAGATTTGAACTGAGATATGAAAATAATGACTGTTCTGTTAAACTGACTCCAAGGATGCCACAAAAAAAAGAAAACTGAGTTAGAAATGTATCCTATCTAGTACTTCTGAGACTGGTTTTTAAATTGGAAAGAGTTTGTACAAGTTATGTACAGCTATTATAATGGATATAAACAACATGTTTTCTCTCCTTCAAAACAGCATCAAAGAAGTTATCTTTTTGATGGCGATTTTCAAGTATACCTCTTTATCCTATTCACCATTTCTGCTACATGATAAACACATGTCTTTGGACAATATAGGGCATGCTATATTATGCTTCCTGATATTTTTATTTGTATGTTTATAAAATACCTTTCCCCAGGCAGTAAATCTGCAGTCTATAAGCTTGTTGCTTTAAGATGGTTAATCAGTTGCTGTAAAATATATAAAGCATTTCTGTAAAATTCAAGAAAGATTACTACAACAGAAAAAAATTTACTTCTTCATAACAGCTGCCAAAGTGAATGCTCATTCTCCACATACCTGTTTTAAAAATATAGTGGTATTTTCAGTTGCTGTGTGGCACAATGTGACAGAAATATGCTTTCTTTTTTTTCTTAAACCTCCTTGTCATGGCATGACTTTTTTCAAAATGCTACTGAAGGTTGGGGGTGTGTTTTTTTTTTTTAAAAAAAAAGAGTATTAGTTACAACCCATCTGCAAACATGGCTTCAGGGTTGTGTGGTTGTCAGGACCTCCTAACTATATTAGTCAGTTAGACTAGCATGATTTTCTGCTGCAACACCTCTGGTGGGATCTTTAGAGAGAAATCCTCGTTGATTCTGGTATCGATATAACATCATGGAACTATGTCAAGCTATATTACACATTGTGGGGGGCAGCATCCATATCTACAAATGCATTCTTCGGCGTTGCACCTGCAATATAAGCAAAAACATCTGAAGGGTTCACATATTTATTTCAGGTTTTTATTTAACAATATATCATTGAAAGAGTGAACGACGGAAAATAACTAAAACCAGAAATAGAAACTGGCTACCACCAGGGTGCAACCAGGGCCAAATTAGCGATGACATAAGAATTTCTGGTTTTGTTGATTCAAAGTAGTGTTTCAGTCACAGAATACTGCCGTGCTTAGTGTCAAAATACATCTCTTCCTGGAACTCCAGTTTCTTAATGGGCATCAAGGTATCTACTGCCATGACACACACTGTGAATACTCTTACAGAGCAGAGAGTGCAAATGCTGTGAACAGTGTCATTGCCTTGAGTTGTGGTACAAGAAAGCAAAGAAGCCCTGCCCCCCCCCCAAGCCAGATGCCAGGTCCCACTCTTGTTTTGTCCTGTTTTCAAAGTCCAAGTCACAAGCCCCAATGTAGTTGCACTGTACTGTTCAAAGCTACCTGCGGGAGCTCTTTGTGGAATAAGAAATGCACATTCCATGCTGGTGAGGACAAATGAGTCTACGGTAACTTGTCAACTTTGTACCATATACCATCTGCATCTACCTGCAAGTGTATTTTTAGCAGGAGTTTTGTCATTAAGATTCTGAATTTTCCTAAGTACTCCCCGGAGCCCTTACCACTCCTAACAGTGTGGTTATAATTTTTTCATAATTCTTCCCAGTGATGCAGCTCAGTGGTTTCCCAGAATTTTTGCAGAGGAACCTCACCTTGAGGAACCAGAGCTCTTCAATCAGTTCTGTTTGGCTTTAGTATTCTTCTACCAACATCACCTTTCACATCCTCCCTCCTACCCAGCCCAGGCCTCTCAGCCTTTCCTTTCTTTGACTCTCTCCTGTCCCCTTCCTGTGATGTTTCTGTCTCTGCTGCTGTCTTAGACAGCAGTGGTGCTAAAACTGAGCAAATAGGTTTGGACGGATCAATCTGTTTCTCCCTGGTGTCATTCATGTGTCCTCCTCCAGGCCTGGCAGAGTCCTTTTCCAGAGCTCATATAAGTGACTTGCTTCGTGGGTTGTAAGGCAGTAATTTAAAGAAGTCCAGGATTAGGTGTTGAATGAGGCAACAGAGGAAAGAATATGCCTAATGTTCCTCCAGACAGTTCTTGCGAGGGACCTGTCTTAGGTACTCCTGAAAAATAATATCAGATCGTCTAGGATGAATGCCTCTGGTGTATTGAGATTTACAAGCTCTTGTAGGTGCAATTCAGACTATGGCTACTGTTGCACTCTCGATTCCCTCATACCAGCTGCTAACTGCTGCCCACTGTGAGGAGGAGGTGACAGAAATGTGATCGGACAGGCCAGGGCAGGCAGCCTCCCTGGTGAACAGGGCAGGGCATTCCCATGAGGGGACACATTCACCAAATTCACCTCTCTGTCAGCAGGAGCTCTTTCTTAATACATTCTCAGTCCAAGCCCTTAAGGAAAAAACAGTTATTGCCCTCATACTGTATTTACATTTCAGTTTATATAAATGGAAGACACCTCTTCACTCCTTCAACACTGAAGTGGTTATTATTACTCAGAAACTCATGCTAGGGTCTCCTGTACACAACCAGTCTGTCAGCTTCCCTCGGCAGTGGCAGAGATGGCTCCCCAGTTTGTGCCCATGTTCCGAGTGGCCTGCTCCATGACCCAGGCACACTTCCCAAGCAGAGAGGAGGCCTAATCCGAGGCCTAATCCTTCAAGAATCCAAACCAAAAATATTGCAGTGGTATTTAGCAGGCGAGCACAGGAATTTGTAATATTCATAGGCTTACTACAGTTTATTTTCCTTGATCTGGAGTCTGTTTTTCCATGGGTTAGAAGTGACTGATGAGGCAGTTTTCCCCCTCTAGCACTGTGCCGGACCGCCTGGACGCTGCCGGTGCTGCGATGCAGGGGTCCCCGCGAGAGGCGAAGCCGCAGGCCTGGCAGGGGTGTGTGGGCACCGACTGACTGATCTCCGGCTTCCAAGCCCTGGGTACGTTACCTCTGTGGCACTGCCACAGCAGCCTCAGGTAGTGGGGTCCTTGCTGCAGTACTTTACATAATAAATGTTTCCGTGGTTGGGCTTTGTATGCCAGGATTGATGAGGCAAGGTCAACTGCAGTGAGGAATTTATCAGGTTGACTCTCAAGTTGTGTTGTTCCTAAGTTTTTTTGGTAACAAGCACAGTTTCTTTGTCCTGCCCCAAGTCACTCAGGATGCTTGCCAAAAATGAGGGAGTTTCGGCACCTGAAAATCCCCTTGTAACCTGAATGTTGGAGGTCCCTGAAAAAAGCAAAGAGGTTTAGCATGTGTCTGGAAGAATGACACAAAAAGCCGATAGGTGCAAAGCCTGGTTTGAGCTGTTCAGTTTGCTGTGACTTCCTTCTGTTGAATGCACTCTGCTAAATTCCCAGTGTGTGTCCTGTCTTCAGAAATGTGTTTCTGTCAGCTTGTAAAGTAATGTAGTTTGCAGATTTCTAAAGTCCTGATCTGCTGTGAAAAATCACACAAAAGCCCTATCACCCTGGTGAAATAAATGTCATATCCATTTTACAGTGAGGTAAATAAAAGATTCAGGATGGTAATTTGCTTTTTCAAAATGCTACGTGTCAGCATCAGAGCTGGTAACAGGATAGGAAAGTTCTTAATGTGTGTACCCTGCTCTGGACCCTGGGACATGCTTCTTGACAGGTCAGAGGACAAGGACAGGAAACAATACAATGGATATGGTAGCAATTGTGAGAAATGTCCATATGTCAAGTTGTGAGAAATGAGGTCTTACCTGATGATCTGAATTGCTATGAACTCAAAACTCTACCTGTAATCACTGAAAAATCTGAAGACATCTGTGAGCATCTTGGTCTTCACAGGAATACAGGAAGAATTTTAATAGTACAGCATTCCAGTATTCATGTGTCCTGTTTGTGGCTGTGTGACCTGGCATAGACTGCTGTGTACATTATTATGGTCTGAGAAAGTTTAAGCCAAAAGGACTTTAATGATGGTATTACTTGTGCAGTTAACTTATTTAATGAAGCAGTGTGTGTGAGCTGGTGAGCACGAGGTGGCACAGCAGAGCCGGAGTACCAGTCAGTGGAACAGGACAGCGTTGCAGCAGGGTGGTAGATCTGGTAGCTGGCTTTTCGGGCCAGACAGTGTGCCTGGTGTGCAAGAGGGCTCTGGTGCAGCCTCTCATTCCTGAGGTCGCCTTTCTTACTGCTAAGTCCAGTTCTCTGTTAGAATGTCTGACTTTTTAATATTGCCTAGGCAGCTCAGTCATTTCAACTGCAGATTCCCTAGAATTTATGGGCAAATATCAGCTCAGCCTTTACTGGCATTATTTAATTAATCACTTCCTTCTGTCAGCACCCCTTTTATGTTGCAGTTTTCATGACATCTCAGTGGTATCTGCAAATTAAAACTGGAATAGTCTCAGTGATGTCCTGACTCTCAGTTCCTTCCCTCTACAAGCACATTTGAAGATTTTTCTTGTTTCTGGTATGACTTTTTCTTTCATCAGTTGAGTTGCTAAGCCTTGTACACGCTTTGAATTTTTGGTTATTTTTCTTTTTGCATCATACAGTTTTGTAGAAGTTACCTAAGGAACTTACTCTAGTCATTTGTTCGCTGCAGCAGAACACTGGCCCTTTAAGGCCAGAAGGGATGTTTTGCAAGATCAGTTGCTCATGTGCCTAAGGAAATCTGTTTAAAAATTTTTGATGTAGCCTTTGCTAGAGAGGAGTGTCTTGAGAGCTATTAATGTCATGAGCAAGTTAGAATGGAGGGCCACTAGTCTCTTAAGGACCTGGGATAAGTAATCTTGTAGTATGGCATTATTAGGTTTCTCATTCTCTCATCTAGGACAAAGATTAGTGATTAGATGAGTGAAGTTAACCATGCATACGAAGGAAGAATGGGACAATATGGACTTTCCAAGCTAGGAGAAAAGCCTGCTGATTGCAGTTGAAGGGGAACAGGAGGAGCAGATTCTAAATCAAGGAAGTCAGGACTAGAAGTCTAATAACAGCATCAGATAAGAGATGAGTAGAGACCCCAATGCTCTGCCCTGCCCCTACTCTCCCCAACCCCATCCTCCCCACCCAAAAAGCTGATGAACTCAATTTAAGTAGACACTGCGAAAGGGAAATTGAAGTAGGCTCTTTGCAGGAGCAATTTCTACCATGAGGGAATGCCCGGAAGTATTCTTTAAGGTTGTTTAATAACTCTGTCTTATCATTATCATGCAGAGCTAATTGCTCCATCTGGTTGTGTAGATCAGAAGTTAGCTGAGAATTTTCTGATGGAACCATTTTCAGATGAGGAATATACCACTTTTCAAAAGTTTAAATATTCTTTCTGAAAATTCAGTTTTACTGGAACAAAAAAGACCCAGGAAAATAGGAAAAATGTCTTACTACGTAGAAGATTTGCTAATTAGTAGAACAGAATTGATCATAAGCAGCACACACAAAACAGACAGATAATCTGTCTCAGTGGTCTGCCATAGAGATATTCAGAAACTCCCTTTCCATGAATAATACAGTTTTAAAATACTGTAATCATGAATTGGCCCAATTTTTTAAAAATTTTGCGGGAAGGGCTTTCATTTCCCAGTCACCTCAGTTTCTCAGGGCATGTATTATTTCTGAATAGTGCCTTGAACACACTATTGCATTCTAACAAAAAAAAAAAAGTACTATGATTTCTATTCAGAAGCACATTTTGTAGGAAACTCCGAATACTACTGGCAGTATGAGGTTGGATTTCAATCCTGCTGAAGACTGACCACCCACATGGAAAGAGTGCAGCCGTGCTGGTGCCGTGTGAGTTAAGAGGAACTCAGTGCAAGGGACAAAGGAGCTTGAAGTTGTAAATTAGTTGTCTATGTAATATTATGTCTCTAAACACTATGCATTTTTGATTGCTTGTAGAACTCAAATTCTCAACCTGAGTCAGAATGAGTTTTAGTCATGGAAGAAATCAAGT